GGGGGGGGGGGGGGGGGGGGAGTACCCCCATGGGCTTCAATGTGGCTTCACCCTTAGTTTTTGATGAGGGATGGAGCCATAATTTTTTTCTTAGACAACAAAGTAGTGACATAACTAAAATGTTTTTTTTTTCAATTGACAGTCATTCATTGAATTATCACTGATATCAAATTTTTAGTTGTGTGCAATTTATCACGACCTATTTTTTATGATATGCTGTAATATTATTTGTTTTCAATAAATAGAGAAATTTAATTCAAACTTCTTGTATGCGTTAACTTGATGTGGAACACTGTTAAATAATTTTGACAAGCCCAGATTTAACTGGGCCAGGCCCAATTAATGAGTTAGGCCCAAATCAGCTACAATGTAGGTCAAGCCTAATTCATGGATTCGGTCCGGTCCAGAGTTCAAGAAGTCCAGAAGGATTAGAGTACGTGGGGAGCAATTATCGAGATATTCATTCTTAAAGATCAAGACAACCTTTAATTGTACTTACCTTTTGTAGTTCACCGAAGATTTAGTACCTTTACCCTCACGTCACCGCCTTAACTAAGGTCCTGTGCCTATAAATTGTAAACTTTCTTTACATGAGAGGATACATTTCTACACACTCTACACATAGTTTTTCTCTCTCCTAGCTAGTGTATCCCTCTTGGGGCAAATCATTGTTTTCTCTCGTTCACCTTACTTAATCAATAAAAGGTTCTCCGATCACCGTTGTCAATTCCCGGAGTGGAGTAGGTCACTCGTACCGAACCACTATATATCTGCGTGTTAACCCTATATTTACGTTATTGTCATTGATTGTTTTATTAATTGTCCATTAATTACACTTTATCACACACTCGACTGTTGATCTTGTATAAAATTGTTCTATGCACCATCAGTTTGACGCTGTCTGTGGGAAACGATTAAGTTTTCTACTACCTTACCACTCTCTTTCAAATACATGGCGATCACGACCAGGTCGATGAGTCAACAACCTGGGGACAACAACCTAGCCCATCGGGAGAAGGCTCTGCCTCCACCCGCACCCGCAGAACCATCTACTGCGGCGTCTCCCGTGGTCGGATAACAACTTTTACAGACCATGCAGCTACTGGTAAATCAAAACCAACAAATCATCTGGTTGATACTCGCCCCAGGTGGCGTCGCCCCTCAGCCTGTAGGTGGAGCACCACTCCTTCGGACGAGAGAAGCACCGCAACCTCTCCACACTGGGCGCCAAGTCACCCCCACCGTGAGGCCCTACGCTAGAACACTCCCAGGCGAGGGGCGCCCTGGCGCCACGAGAGTCCCGAGAATCTACATCGTCATCGGCAGTCTTGAGAGTTTACATCGCCACAGGAAGTCTCAGGAGTCTACACTGCCACAGGAAGTCCCAAGAGTCTACACCGCCACGGGAGTCCCCAACGTCTACACCGCCACGAGAGTCCCGGGAGTCTACACCACCATAGGAATCTCGGGAGGAAGGATCACACACCCCTATGCTTGCATGCTCAGTGCATAATGCCTACACCCATCATGAGACAAGCCCAGACACTATCCCGAGAAAGCCCGAAGTCTCGGAGACAGCTCCATAGGCCTCGGAAGACCACACTCCGAGACTAGAGGCGCTCGATTCCTTTGTGCCTACTCCACGAGAGCCCTCCGCGCCCTCACTACTATCTACTGTACCATTTTGGAGACTGTACGTGGATGAGTCCTCCACTAGCGAGGACGGCAACGTAGGACTAGTGTTGATCAGCCCCCATAGCACTCCACTCAAGTACGCTATCTCCCCACTTTGCAACATTTAAAAACAAGCTGAATATTAGGCTCTCAAATTAGGATTGAAGCTCACATTGGAGATGGAGGCCCTCTGCCTGAAAGCCTACAGTGACTCATAGCTGATAGTCAACCAGGTAAAGGGAGGGCTCCCCTCGGTGTCCATACCCAACGCCTAAGCGCCCCAGCATATAGGCGCTCGTGCCAATCAATGCCCCAGCGCTGAGCGCCAGTGCTAGCCAGCGCCAGTGCCAGCAAGCGCCAGCACACTTGTCTCTGTAGTGGCATCACCTAGATGGCTTGCAAGGCGTCGCCCAGGGCCACTGCCTGCCCAGTGGCATTGCCCAGACCACTTTGCTTCAAGGCGTCACCCAGACCACTTTACTTTAAGGTGTCGCCCAGACCACCTACTGCAAGCGTTGCCCAGACTACTCGACTCCAAGGCGTCGCCCACAATCCTTAACGTGCACACTAACGCTTAGCACCAGCACCTGCCAGCCAGCGCCCCAGCCTGCGTTGCCTATGGCCACTACCCAGTGGTGTTTCCCAGTTACTACTAGTGGCATCACCCTCTGCCCCCAGTTATGTTGTCGACTAGTTAGCCTACGATGTCTCCTCTTGTAGCCCATATCTTTGGTGCCATCGCACCTTTACCCAGCATTCCTTGACGTCCATACCCAACGACGTCCATACCCTTCTGCGTTAGTGCCCAGCGACGCCCAGCGCTCCTTAGCGTTTGTGCCTAGTGATGCCCAGCACCTCTTTGCGTCTATGCCCAGCGGCGCCTAGCGCCCCTCTATGTTCGTTCCCAGTGGCGCCTAGTGCCCCTTGTTGTCCTCACCCGCGTCAAATTCTCTAGCTTAGCAGCTCTCATAAGAGTCGCCAAAAAGCTTGGCCTATCTCTGCCTCTACTCTCACGCAGGTAATCTGTATCTCCAGTTTAGCGGCTCTCTTGCGAGTCGCCAAAAGCTTGGCCTGTATCTGTTCTGCTCTTAAGCAAACAATCTATATCTCCAACTTAGTGTCTCTCGAGATTCACCAACAGCTTGGCCTATCTCTGTTTTGTTCCCAAGCAGGTAGCCTATATCTCCAGCTTTGCGGCTCTCTCGAGAGTCACCAAAAGTTTGGTCTATCTCTGCTCTGTTCTCACGCATACAACCTATATCTCCAGCTTAGCGGTTCTCACGAGAGTCGCTTTTGGCCTATCTCTGCTCTATTCTCACGCAGGCAGCCTATATCTCTAGCTTAGCAGCTCTCACGAGAGTCGCCAAAAGCTTGGCTTATCTTTACTCTACTCTTAAGGAGGTAACCTATATTTCCAGCTTAGTGGCTCTTACGAGAGTCGTCAAAAGTTTGGCCTATCTCTGCTTTGCTCTCAAGCAGGCAGCCTATATCTCCAATTTAGCGGCTCTCACGAAAGTCGTCAAAAGTTTGGTCAATCTCTGCTCTGCTCTCACGCAAGTAGCCTATATCTCAAACTTATTAGCTTCCACGAGAGTCGCCAAAAACTTGGCTTATCTATATCACCAGCTTAGCGGTTCTCACCAGAGTTGCCAAAAGTTTGGCCTATCTTTGCTCCGCTCTCACGTAGATAGCCTATATCTCTAGTTTAGCGGCTCTCACGAGAGTCGCCAAAAACTTGGCCTATCTATGCTCCACTCTCAATCAAGCGGCCTATATCTCCAACTTAGCGATACTTACGAGAGTCATCAAAAGCTTGACCTATTTTTACTCTGCTCTCAAACAGGTAGACTATATCTCCAACTTAGCGGCTTTCACGAGAGTCGCGTCAAAAGCTTGGTCTATCTCTGCTCTTAAGCAGGTAGGCTATATCTCCAGCTTAGCGGCTCTCTGGCGAGTCACCAAAAGTTTATCCTATCTCTACTCTGCTCTCACGCAGGCAACCTATATCTACTGCTTATCGGCTCTCTCGCGAGTCACCAAAATATTAGTCTATCTCTATTCTACTTTCACGCAGGCAGCCTATATCTTCAGCTTAGCAACTCTCACGAAAGTTGCCAAAAGCTTGGCATATCTCTATTTTGCTCTCAAGTAGGCAGCCTATATCTCCAGCTTAGCGGTTCTCACGAGAATCGCTAAAAGCTTAGCCTATCTTTTCTCTACTCTGCCCTACTTTGCTTTAAAGAAGGGAGCCTAAATCTCCAGTTTAGCGGCTCTCTCGCGAGTCACCAAAAGCTTGCCCTATCTCTACTTTGCTCTCAAGCAGGCAACCTATATCTCCAGTTTACCGGCTCTCACAAGAATCGCTAAAAACTTGGCCTATTTCTGCTCTGCTCTAAAGTAGGCAGCCTATATCTCCAGCCTAGTGGCTCTCTCGCGAGTCGCCAAAAGTTTGGTCTATCTCTGCTCTGCTTTGCTCTGTTCTCAAATAGGTAGCCTATGTCTCAAGCTTAGTGACTCTCACGAGAGTCGCCACAAGCTCGGCCTAACTTAGCTTATGCTTATACGCAAACAGCCTCGTTCTCTAGAAGCTCAGCCTCGAGAGCTGTTGTTCTCTAATGAGCCAACCTTAACTGCAACTTGGTGCCCAGGTCTCTCTTCCACCAAAGCTCTTGACACCTCATTGGGTTTGAATGTCCTTAAAAGTACGGAAAAGCCGCAGTCATCTGCAAATTTTTGAAGCTAGAATGTCAGCCTGACCAAGCATACAAAAGAGAGGGTTCCACATAACAGCAGGGTACCAAAGCAAAGTCCTCTATCTCGGTATCAATGATACCCTCAAGACCCCGAGAGCAGACATCCAAGGGTGTCACAAACCTCCAAAGTCTCTCCAAAATTCACATCCTGCAGCAAGGACACCAGGCCATTGCTAGAAGCAGGATAATTATGTGAAGTGTTGGGGGCATCAACTCTTGTCTTCTGAGACATAGCAGGACCGTCAGAGCTCAGTTGGGAAGTACTGGGGGCATCAAATCTCACCTCTTCTAGGAGGAAGGGAAGTCACCATCCTAGTGATGTAGAGAGTCTTTGTTGTTAATCCATCAACCACGGGATCATCTGTGAAAGAGAGAATTTTCATAAACCAAAGACATAATTAATTTGTCTGGGTCCTCCATGGTGTTGCCCGTGGCACCGCCCAGTCTTATGTTTTCCCTAATTTTGCCCAGGTTCATACCCATGGTGCCACTCGCCAAAGCATCTCCATCTCCATCTCCATGCGTCGAAACATCCATTCTTCTCTTTATCTTCTCTCCAACAATGACGTTACCAAATAGAGAAATAAGCTTCAAAAATGCCATGGATGGAAAGCTGAAGAAGCCACCATATGGAACAAGATATCTGTTTTATCCAAAGGAATGAGCTAACTCATGTCCTCAACCCCCAATCACTACTAGGACTTGGGGCATGGGGGCAAATGATGAGCTTAGATTTAATTGGGCCAGACCTAATTAATGAGCTAGGCCCAAATCAGATACAAGGCGGGTCAAGCCTAATTCATGAATTCGGCCTAGTCTAGAGTTCAAGGATTCCAAAATGATTAGAGCACGTGGAGAGCAATTATCGGGATACTCACTCTTGAAGATCAAGGCAGCTATTAATTGTACTTATCTTTTGTAGCTCCCCGAAGATGTAGTACCTTTACTCTTGCGTCACCGCCTCAACTAAGGCTCTGTGCCTATAAATGGTAAGCTCTCTCTGCATGAGAGAACACCTCTCAACACACCTCACACATAACTTTTCTCTCTCCTAACTATTGTATACCTCTCGGGGCTAACCATTGCTCTCTCTTTCTCTCACCTTACTTAATTAATAAAAGGTTCCCCAGCCACTGTTATCGTTTTTCGGAGTGGAGTATGTCACCCATACCGAACCACTATATTTTTGCGTGTTGACCCGATATTTACATTATTGTCGTTGATTACTTTATTAATTGTCCATTAATTACACTTATCACACACTTGACTGTTGATCTTGCATATCACCATTTTGTGCATCATCAAATTTTATCAAACAATCAATTCATAATCATTCGAGGGTAAGTAAAGGTTTCTTCAACTTTTCAACTTTAGGTCTGGTTTCACAGTCAATTTTCATAACCTTTGAATTTGAATTTATGTGACATACTATATTACGTGTATTTTCGTTACATATTAAAATAGTAAAGTTTTTTGACGAAAAAATCTAAGTAAGCATAGTATACTATTGAAACTCAGTTGAAACACATCAAACATAACAATCCATTGTCAGATAAAAATAGAGATGATCATTTGCCGGAAAATAAAAGATAATTATAAGTGAATGACTGTCAAATTAAGAACCTAAAATAACAAAATCTTAAATATAAAAAATTAAGGCAAACTGAAGAAAGCCCTAAGAGTGTAAGACAATAAAAATGACTAGACATGTATATAAACCAATCGCAACTCGTGGCATCAAAAAAAGTACTGAAGCATAGGAGTGATATATAAAACATACACATGTAATAAAAGTTTTTGAGAATTTTGAACATGGGCCAAGGCCATCCGTGGCCCCCTAGTAGCTCTGCCCTTGTGCACAATAGCGAAACACGATTCATGTCCAATCTCAAAAAACTAAGACAAGGTTTGTTGTTGATGATATTAGAAGAAAATGCGTAACTCAGACTTGTGTCAGGTCAGGTAATCCATATGTTAACCTAACCAGCCAAAGATACCGGTTAGCCACTGATGCAATAGCTCGGGAACAGCTAGAAAGGGTAGAAAATGACTTTCATAAGTAAACCTTACTTTGGGTAAGAAGTCATTGCTTCTAGAAGGCCACATTATGCATAAGGGGGAGTAAGGGTACAACGCGGCGTGTTGCGGGGTCAACCATAGCCCAATTCTATATATAAAATCTTCAACCCTAACCTTAATCATAATCCGACTTCAACCAGAGTATTACCTGAATTGATTTTGGGCAAATTCAGGTTGAAATTGGGTTATCCAATTCGGTCCCAATTCGGGCTAATTCTGGGTTTGAATTCAGGTTAAGCATATTCAGAAGATAATGTCAAAAACTTATTCAATTTATACAAAAAATTAGACCAGAGAAAGAAGCATAGATCCAAATAAAAAAACACATTCAAACAAAGAAACAGAGATCTAAACATAGTCCCTAAACAAAAACCCAAACAACAAAACACATTTTTTTCACATTGTCTTCTCGAAGACAAGGAGTGGAGGTCTTTTCTTCAGATCTGTGGTCGATTGTTGCAGATCTGTGGAAGGCTTCTCTGGATCTAAATAAACTAGTGGTGGAGAGGAGATGGAGAAAGAGAGAAGACATGAAGGATAAGAGAAGAGAAGGGAAGAAAAAGAGACGGTGGTGAGAACTGAGAAGAGAAAGAAAGGCGACAGAAAAGGCAAGAGAGGTGGGAGAGAGTGAAGTTGAGAGATCGGTTTGAGAAAGTGAGGGAGGTGCTGATTAGTTTGGGTCTGAGAAGTGTGAAACCTAGTTATTTAAATATGTTCAGGTTGAGCCCAATTTAATATTCGGGTTGAGCCTGATTTATATATTCTGGTTGAATCCGGTAACCCGAGGCCTCAACCTGGGTATTGCCTAAATTTAATTTGCGTTGGTATTTTTCAGTCCAGGCCCAACCCTAGGCTTATTTTTTTTCGGGTTGGCTCACCCAAGTTGCATCCTTAGGGGGGAGAACCTCAAATGGCCAATGATTACCCCAAATATTCTATGACAAGTTAGTTAGGATTACACCATCCTTATATAAATAGGTAGACCATCACTCTGCTTATGTGCAAAACAATACCACCTATGTATCCTCCTCCTCCTTCCTCAAACAATATACATTACAAGGGAGTAAAATCCTCCATTACATTGGACTAACCTAGCTCTTCACCTAGGTGAATTGCTAAATTTCTTGTGCATTCTCTCTTATTTCACCACATACGCCCAATATACCACACTTAGAGCTCCTTAGCCCTTCCAACTCATGCCTCTCGATTTTTAC